TGTTATTTTTGAATTAGTTTAAATTGACTTCTTATATAACTTGAAATTTAAAGGTAAGATTATTATCCGGTATATCTTTGAGACTTTTTTATATTTTATTTACGAAACCAGTTATGAGCATTTTAAAAACTTTACATTTTAAAATAATCATAACTTACTTCAAAATTAAATTATCAATAAAAGCCTCCGAGATGCCAATAATCATGTCTTTAAATTTAATAAGAGTTCAATTTAAAAAATAACAAAGTCAAAATTACTTATGTCAAATTTATACTTTGTAAGACGGAGACAGCACAGTATGGGTGTGGCGTCTTCCTAAGGATGTCAGTGTACTGTTAATTTTATCTCTTTGGCCCTGCAACATAGACAAAACGCATTCACGCAAAATACTTTTTTTTGTTTTTTCTTAATTTTAGAGTAAAACATAAAACTGTAGAAAATAATATTTTTGAGGGTAAGACTATTGATTGACGATTTGTCAGTTGTCTGAATATTGTCTCATCTATGTTTTAGGTAAAAATAACTCAATGACTTCGTCGACAAAATTGTATTTATTAATATTAAATAAAAACAAAATTCTGGTCTGAAAGGGTTGGAATACCACAGATAACAATAATATTATTATTAAAACAGAAAAAGAGGTTTCTTAGACATATTAAGTTATTTATAAATAATAACTACCTTCCTACCTACCTTATAAAAGTAATAAAAACTGCAGTACATGTATAAGACATTTTTTTTTTCAATTATGACCTAGAAAATTAATGTAGTCAGGTTAATAGATTACAGGCGTATCTCACCTATAAATTGTGTACCTATTGTGGATAAAATTAGATATGTCTCCGAGTCGTGTCCTGTGGGTGGATGGGCGACGCCTCGACGAGTGTCAAAGACAATACTATGTGCTATAGGTAGGTAGGTACTAGGTATATCATAAATCATAATATACTATATACTTATTAGTCATTAGTCATTACTTACAATAATAAACATTATAAGTATAGTACATTAGTACGCATCTATATAGAATCGTCAATTGTGTGATAGTCTTATATAAACGATGAACACACAGAAACTTAAGTTTTTATTACGAATTAGATAGGTTAGTTATATAGGTACCTTGCATTATTTTTTAATTATTATTGTTATTATTCTTCGTTAGATTTTGAACACAACTCCTTTGATGTTCAATATAACGAATACAACACTTTTATTTTATTTATTTAACTTGGTTGTTGTTTTTTTTTTTTACCGATCGTGTTGTTTAAAAGGAATATCATATAATGAGTACTAAAGATTAAATAAAGATTAAAGAGAGAATTTTATTTAGGGATGTGTTGTATTTGCGTAGTATAAATACCTAATACCTGTACTATATTTCATATCGATAAGTCAAGCAAACACTTTGGAAAAATAAAACATCATAATTCATTTTATAAATATTTGTGGGTGACTTATTAGTTATTATCTACTGTTGACATAAAATAATCTATTTTTATAACTACGGAAGGGAACCAATTCAATTAAAAACAAACAACCTTATCCTAGTACAAATATTTTACATTAAACAAGAAGACTCATGTGAATCACAATCAAAACTCGAGTCTATAAAAATACAACAAGGTGGGCAATTTAGTAACGATGTATACAATCACTGTATTGGATATGTTAAACTTGAATCCAGTGATATACTGATATAAAATCATTATACGTTTTGTAGCTATACGAATAACAATTTTGATCGAAGACGGTCTGTGTCTATATTATGATATAATTGCTTAAAGTAATTTGTTTTATTACTTTATTAGTAATAGTGTAATACAGTAGGTTGAATTAATTTTTGCCAAAAAAACATTGAATTTGAAAAAGTCATTGTGTGCATAAAATATAATAATATTATACTTTAAAAGTTTTAAGTAGGTATCTGCAAACAATATTTTTTTAGTTACAACAAAATAACTAAAATTGTTATTCTTTGTTTAATATCTAATTTTTCCAAATTTGAACCTAAACTAAAACTATATTATCTATCGAAAGAAAAAAAAGTTTATACATTTTTTAGATTTTTTGGTTTTTAATTACTTATAAGAAACCTTGTTTTGAATTTTCAATACTTAGCTGTAAAAATGAAATATTTAAATATTTTATACATTTTTAACTACAAACTTATTTGCAAATTGTCGTAATTTTGATGAATGTTGTCTTAAAGCTTTGTTTATCACCATAGAAACGAATAAAATGTAAAAATTATCTAATTACCAACTAAGTATAATAGTACCCACTGGCCACTAGGTATACAATTAATGGTTACTTATAAATCCATATTTATGAATCATACATTTTCTTCAAAGCGGAAAATGTCTTGTACCGTGCTACATGCTACGTAGTACTTTTATGTCACACGATTACCACACCCACTTATATTTTTATCAAAAATAATTAAAATAAAACTAGGTAATAAAAATGTCTTATGCTTATAAAATATAGCTCAAAAAGAATCAAATTTTCAAATAATTAAAACATTTTATAATGTATAGAAAATGCTACTATAAAAATTTGATGAAAATTATAAGTTAGTCCAAAAAAAAAAAAATCGATTTGTCATAAACGGTTTTTGCTTGAGAATTCCCGTTTTCCTTATTTTTTTAAATTCTGAATGAATGTATACAATGAATTTATTGATTTTCCAATGATGTGTATTTCTTTTTGTGTCATCACCTTTTAGGAGAGTAAAAGTGCTTCGAATTTCTTTGATGGTAACTTTTCTGATAGCAAAGTGAATCTAGTTGGTACTCTGAGAAGTGAAAAGTAAATATTTTTCAGTAGTTTTCAAAAGCGCAGTGAAAAACAAAAGAAAAATTAAGGAAAAACGAGAATTTTAACTCAAAATCGATTTTGGTTTTTTGTGTAACTCTAAGACGAATGACCGTAGATACATGACATTTTTACTGAATGTTTATATTAGCATTTTCTATATACCATAAGATTTAAAAAATTTTAAAACTTATTTTAGCTGCTTACGGACATTTTCAGTTTCCAATTTTGTTAGTATTTTGTTCTATAAATATCAATACAATTTTATTTGTTTTATAAGAAAGCTTGAAAATGTAATAAAAGGCTCCTATATATTTTTTCAGAGACAGATGAAAAATATCAAATCTATAATCTTAGACTCTATGACATAAAGTATCCATTAACTTTGTTAAGAATTTTAAAATGATAACATTGAGACATTTGGTAAATTATAACTGTAGGGACCTAACTACTAAAATGTAAAATGTTGAGCTTATACCTACCTATTTAGTTAGTATTTATATGCCTTACTGACATTGTAATACATTAATACCTAATCTATATACATATGCATAATTGGAGCAGAAGTGACAATTACTATAATTCAGGTACAAGTGAAAGAGATCAACATATTTTTTAAATTTAAAACAATGTATCAAAACAAATTAATTGGCTAGCATATTACGCATATAATACAGTATAATATATTTATAATATCAGTTAATGAAACTGTATTAGGTATAATTACTGCAGAATATATTATTCTGTACATGATTGAAGAAGACTATCCATCTTCATTAATTTACTAATTATAATTTTGGTTTGAGTCTCGAGAGTCTTCGCCTCATCTAGAGCTCGTAAACTTTAAACTTTATAATCAAAATTAATCCATTTCTTCGGGGAATTGCAACCATCGAAAATATTTTTGTCCCTTAGCGAAAACACGCTCATTCTACACTGTGTCAGCTATGACATAAATATTGAATTCGTATTAATCAATGTTGTAAAATTTAAAATTAAGTAGGTATCAGAATTAAAATTGTAAGTCGATCACCATATTCGAGTCATTATTATCAAGTGCATAAGTTTAAATTTTAATTTGTTTTAATGTTTTATAGGAATTTAGAGATAGATAGTAAAATTAGTACACATATAGGCGTATGGTTTAATTTATTCAAGTTAAATGTTTCTCCGCAATTAATGATTATGAGTATTAAGTAACGCGTATGAAATAAAAAATATTATATATTTTAAAATGTGATGTAATATAATCGTATAATGTCTTCAAATATTTTTATTTTTTATGAACATCATATTATAGATGTTCTGAATATTTTTGTATATAAATGCATATTTGAAAAATGTTCATGAAATAAATGCATATTATATAGGTATTAACATATTTACGGGTATATTAGAGTGCATATTTATTACTCTCATAACGCATATTTGCATTTTTTTATGAATATATTTCATGGAATTTTTACGCGCATAAATGATTATTCATTTTTTTTCCGAGAATATAAATGACAAAAGTACTATTAAACGGTAATAGTCTGTTTTAGGGTATAAATATATAGATGGTGTATTGGTGTGTATCAAAACACATTAATAATTTTTTTTATCTATCGCACACAAGAAAGAGTTTGAACCTTTTAAATCGTGTTGAAATGTGCACAAAACCTGATTGACATGACGTATGTTATATTATGATATTAATAATGTTATGATTTAAATAATATTTTTACAGAGTCGACAATTTATGCAACTCTGAACGGCTGTAATGCTTGATTATGACAGACGAAAAATGTCAATATGCTTTCCAAACAAATCAGAAATACTGTTTAGTTGCGGCTGCGAAGATTTATGAAAAAAATGTCTTCAACGATGTAACATAATAACAGCCATCAATATTCAAATCATAATAATTTGTTTATTATGATACAAACACTTCGGTGGCAGGGCTATCCGGTGATGATCTCACGACTGTATAAGTACATGTTGAATTTTTCATAGTGTTCTTTTTTTTGTTAAACTTTAAACTTGAGCAATACTTATTATATGTATGTAAATACGTAAGACAAAACAAACACTCCAAACTGTGATATATCTCCTATATTTTTGTTACATAAAGCTGCTTAGACAGTACATTTAGCTATCCAAAAATACCTTTATATTATTCAAAATATTATTCTTACCTACGTGCTATGAGCGAGAGCCAATTCTTTTGCCCTCGGCTGATCGACTATTTGGCTATCGTCGGAGCTCATCCCAATTCTTCAAAAAGAAGTTCTTTATACGAGTTACAAAACAATGGATCCAACAATGATGAATATAGCGGAGCCAGTTCAACAGTGTCCAGTAATGATGAAAACTTTTATATTCAGGTACCTACAATAATTTTTGCATCTTAATATCTTATTGTTCATTAATTAATCATTCAAGAAACGCTGTCTGGTGAAATACAGAAATTAAATTACCTATATAAATGGCAGTGGTACTGCCTACTATCTCGGGTTTATTATATTTGTTTTGTGATAAAATATCAAGTGATACTTTAATCAATTAATTTTATTTTAATGCACACTACTTAAAGAAGAACAGATTAGTCAGATTTTCTATCTTTTTTCGAAAATTTTATGCTTGAGCTTTGGTTTGGGGTATTAACTGCTAAGAAAAACATAAAATGTTTAATTTCAAGAACATTCAACGTTTAAAATTGATAGATTGGGTTGCCTACTTGAAACATTTGGATGATTCTATTATATTTGATTGGAGGTATCCGCCGTTTTATTCCCGAATTGTATTTTTCCTAAAAGTCCGTAAACTAGAAACATTTTTTCCCGAATCAAAATTTCCAAACAATCTTAATATTTGGGCAAGTGGCAGTTCTTGTAGATCCTCTGACTTCGACTTAAAAGAATATTTGACGTCTTCTTTGTTAGGGACATAATCGTGATCACCCAAAGGTCCCAAAGTTGGTTCTCGTACAAAATAATTTTTACTTTCAAAAATATTGAACCTCAGTAAAAATTCTCGCTCTGCACTGACTGCACTCTTTCCTACGTAATTTTTGACATTCCCAGTAGGTTTTGCCGTTGACTGGTAATGTAGACCTTATATAAATAAAACCGCCATAAATTAATTTTGTCTCACCCAAAATTCTAAATTCCGCTATGATAATAAAGTAAAATAAAATAATTTTAGTATATAATTCATATTAAAAGTTAAAACACATTCGGTTTTTCAATCTTGATTGAATATAATATCAGAAAATATCGAAATTTCAAACACAGATCAATTTTGATATAAATTATAACTTAAAAGTTTCACTACCTACCTAACTGTTTCATACTTAAATAATAATGATTATAAAAAAAAAAATGTATTCCAAATGATACCTACCTATTACAAATGTATAAAATTATATTAAATCGATGGTTTGGATAACTTTAGAACCCAGAATTACTCCGACGGTATCCAGCAGAAGATCATAAAGATTTTATATTACCAGAAACAATGTCATATTTTTGTCAACCAGAAGGATGTGTTTCCTTCAAGCATAGCCGATCTGAATCGAACAAAGTCACGTCATTTGTATTTACACTAACGGATAAAGATACAAGTTAGTTTATAATTCAGCTTGAGAAATCTAATTAATAATAATTTGAATACTACTTTTAAACATTACATATTTGTTTGGTAATTTTTTTTTTGTTTCCCAATAGCCCGAACTAGATACGGCGTGTGTGTAAATTTTTATAGACGTGTTGGTCAATGTTATACGAATAATTCAAAGAATATCAACATAAATGATGAACTGAGTGCAAAGAAACCACAAAACAATCATTCGTCGGTATTTTTAAGATGGTAATACTTCAAGATAACTTAATAAACAGAACGTCAAATTTTGAAAATAAAAATATTGATCAAATTTTTAAATGCTCATAATGACTTCTTCATTAAAACAATTTTTAACAAGTTTTCTAGTTTATCATAACTATTTTTACATTATTGAATATATTAATTATAAACGTATTTCTAAGTACGAGATATTCTATTGCTAACCATCAACTAATCATATTTAGATACTCAACATAATAAATATTAAGTTATAATATATATATATAGTATCCTCAAACACAAGACTGCCACAACTCAAAATTAATTAATTTTGAGTTATGACTGCTTTTGAATACTAAAAATTTAGTTCAATGGAATGCAAGAACATTAGGTACATTCAATATCATTTTTATTTCGCCACCAAAAAGATGTGTCAGTATTGAATCATTAAATTATTAGATAATTTTTAAAGCAACATAGCCATTTTTACTTTAAGCTAAAACATAGCCAATTAATCACCAAAGTCAAAATCAAGACTGCCTTGTTTCGATTTTTGGCGTTCTAGCACTAAATAAATACACATTTTTGTGTGATATGTTGAGTGAAAGACAACAATATTTAGTGTTATAACTTGTGGCAGTTCATAATTCGTGATGTTGAAGCCGTATTATGAAAAGACAATATTTTTATCTTGGCAGTTATAATAAAACAACTAATATAATATCTTAAAACCAATATTTTGATCCTAAAATATGTATTAATTTTTTCATAGTCATTCTACAACTTCTTTTGGCAAATCAATGTCTCAAGATCATCCCACAGATCAATCAAACGATAAGGTTACACACAATATTTCATCACAGCCCGTAAGTGTTCAATTGTTGATTTTATTTTAATTTAAAGTACCTACTTGAAGTTTTAAAAATATAATATATTTTTATTTATAGTCAAATAATTTATAAAATTTATCTATTTTGCTAAAAAAAATGTTCATAACTTAAAGTATATAAATGTTAATACAGTTGCCATACCTATGAAAAAAAATGATACATTTTTTTTTATATTTCAGGAATCTCAAGATTTATATTCTCTTACATCGTTGTGTCTTCTTTCTCATCATCCTTTATTTTCAAGTTTTCGTACATGTTTGTTTTATTTAAAAAGCCTTATCGATTCTTGCAATAAAAAAATTAATTGTAGCAGAAAAGAAGGACATAAAAGGTACCTACATATTACAATAATACTTAACGAATGTCCAATTTTCTATTTTATAATGAACGGTTAAACGATTTTGTTTATAGAAAAGAATGTATATGGAGTTTATTGACTGGATTTTTAACTCAAGCAAATTCTCCAAGAATTATACAATTTATCAAAGAACTTGAAATGTGGATATTACGTTTGCTCAGCACTCCAGTCCCTGTACCAGGGAAGACGAAACTGGAAGTAAGATAAAATGGATAAGAACAAGTCTGAACAACTATCACACTGATTTTTAACCAAATAAATTAAAAAATAATATTTTGCAAATTCAATGTTGAAATAATGTTGAAATATACCTCAATTATTTTTAGGTTATTATCTACTGGTTAGGTCAATTGTGGTTTCATTAATTACTATTTATTAGTTAATAATTATTACTTCATTAGTCTTTGGTCTGTGTAAAATTTAAATATTTTTGGGCAACGGATTTTATCTACCTCTAAGTATCATCAATGTATCATTGTATACATTCCATTGTAATATTCAGGGAATAAATACTGTATAATTTATAATGTATTTTAATTTTGTACCATCATTATTTTATAATATTTTTTCTAAATTTCTAAATAACTGATTCATTTTATAAGAATTATAACAATAAATTAGTTTAGGATTTAACCCCTCCACAAGTACAAAACACAATCTGCAAACCTTTTTTTTTTAACTTTTTGTTTTGTTTTATATTTATCTTATATCTAAGACAATTAACTGATCTATGTTGATCCATGCATTTACACTTTAATTGGTTTAGTTAAAATGTATATTTATACCTGCAATTGTTGTAATTTATATTCATATAGGTTTATTTGTTTTCACAAAACGAGAGACAGCTACCACTAGCCTTCGCGTTACCCGACCACACGAGATTTTCACTGATTGATTTCCCTTTACATTTACCATTAGAGTTATTGGGAGTAGATACGTGTCTCTACGTATTAACTATCATATTATTAGAAAGTAAAGTGAGTAAATACATAATATTTTACTTAATATGTATATTATCTAAAATTATTCTGTTAATTATCGGCTACCGTGTATTTTACTAATGTTGCTATAAACTTTAGGTCGTCTTCCAATCAAAGGATTATAATGCTCTCACTATGTCCGTAATGGCTTTAGTGGCACTTATGTATCCCTTGCAATACATGTTTACTGTTATACCATTGCTGCCTACAAGTCTACCAAAATCGGAAATGGTATAAAAATAAATAAAAAGCCTCAATATATTAATATATTATTTCATACATGTATTTGTATAATGAACTGTATGAATAAATCACCGTTTGTGTAACTTTCAGTTATTCGAGAGTCCTGTGCCTTATGTGGTTGGAGTTCCATCCAGTTTTTTTTTAACAAAACGAGATTTCAGGTTAGTTGTGGATAATCTATTAATGAACTTGTTGGCATTACAATAAACAAACTTTTGTGTTTCAGATTTCCGAAAGACGTTTGGATAGTAGATTTGGATTCGAATAAAATAACACCGCCAATAGTTGTTAATCGAGAAGATGCTATACCACAGTTACCCAAGTCTGAATCGTTAACTTTGAAAAATAATTTGAAATCTGTAATTATCATAAAAACAAATAAAATTGTGAATATAATAATTCATTCTTATTTAATTTGTATTAAAATAGGCATTAAATGGACTTTCGAGAATAAATATTAACAATAAAGCAACAAGTAGTTTTCCGGAAAATGAAGTTATGTCAACAACGAGGCCTCCTATGGAATTTTCGAGTACAGGAGAAGACATCTCAAAAAGAAAAATGGAAAACTTTCAATCAAGAAGTAATATCATAAACACTGATAACAGTACAAATCGAGGAAATGAAATAAGGTAATAATAATATTTATTCATTAGAGTGAATTCTACTGTCCAAGCTGCAGACATGCTTATAGAGCATCTGCTATCAAAATAAATTCTTTAATAATTATAAGTATATATAAGTACATATGTACTCTTAATATCTTTAAAGTTATTTTATATTTTAAAAAACATTGTTTTTAATATCGTATCCACTGCACTTACCATAAGCTATACAGAAAAAGTAATTAATGTATTTTTTCTTCGGCCCACATAATACCTAATAAAGTCTTAAACACTGCACTTTTTTTTAGAAGACAAACGTCGACGAATTCAGCGTACAACACAGTCGATATCGATTCGGTGGATATTGCAATCAGGGTGGCCATGGTTCGTTTCTTTTTATCCGGCGACGTATTGGCCAACCTAACAGAACATTCACGAACTCTGAGGCTCTACCCTAGACCTGTAGTATTTTTTCAAATCAATTCTTTTCTGAAGAGCAGACCAAACCCGTCGCTTTTTACATGTCAACTGTCTCGAACACAAGCAGTTGATTATTTCGCTGAATGGGCATTGACACCGAACAACGTGGTCTTCCAACGGATTCAAACCGGCGTAAACGACCCATCTATGATTGGCGATAAGCTTAAATGGTTTGCGAATACCTTAGAGCCTGTTGTATTTACCGTTTGGCAAGAAAATTGTTCGATTCAAAATATAATGAATGTCAATGTAAATTCAAACCGACCGTCTTTGGCATTAGGTAATAGTATTACTGACACATAGATACTTAGATAATTTATAATATATAAGAGACAAATATTACTCATTTCGTATTCACATAGCTGATGGGAGTCGTCGGTCCGACAGTGACGGTAGCGATAGTAGTAGCAGTGAAGACGAGAGACCAGCAATTTATCGCGAAGATTTCAAAGCCCATGTTACGAGTGAAAAAATTCTGAAAATAGGTATTTATTATTATAATCCATAAATATTATATACCTAATATAATACTGTCTCAACTTTATATGAATAACAAAAATGTTATATTTATTTAGAAAGTCCAAGACTCAATATAGGACCAATAGTACAGGGAGTACACTCTGCTTATGAACCTCCAATAACTTTACAATTCCCAATGGCGTCAGACGATAGCCCAGATGAGGATGGGACCATAGAATCAATTGGCAGTAAATCTATCGGATCTTCGCCGTCCAGTAGCCACAGTGACATGAGCTCGCCTATGTTTAAACCCGAATCCATAATAGTTTGTATTTTTAATTAAACTATTACAATACTAATAAACTATAAGCGAGTGGTTGAACATAAATATAAGAAACAGCATTTTTAAGAATCGATCATTTATAATTTAATCGATATTCTTGAGAATCATATCAAAAAAATAATTAACCTGTAATCTGTATAAATGCACATAATAATCAAGGCTAGAATTATTCAGTTAAGTTACTTACAATTTAAATAGATAGATATTGTAATAAATAACACTTCACTATATATATAATATCATATGTAAGTATTTTAATATTTTATACAAACTTATATTAATGAATATTAATAATTACTTAGTACATTTATAAATTCATGTCTGATGAGTTTATTTAAAAAGTCCGAACATTAATATTTTTACCTACAATCATTTTCGTATTCATTTTCTATTCAAGTTATTCATTTTCATATCCAAACTAATTGTCCAATAAATCCATTCAATTTTTATAAAACAGAAAATAAACAAAATATCATGATAATAATAAACCTATATAAAAAGCAGCAGCACGTAAATTAAGAGGGGCGATTTGAGCATATAAATGAGAGTAAGGAATTTTTGAGCTAGTAAATAATTTATTGCGATTTCATTGTTGATGCGTAGATTATTGTAAAAAATATATTTAGATAGGTACACAAAAAGTAACTTACTTACAAAGAGTATTCCGAAGAAATGCTCAACTTGTCATGCTCAAATAGTCCAATTACATACCTACGTAGAATACTTATTATTTTTTTTTAACACAATAATTTATTCCAATAAATTAACGTTTCATACTTTTATAAAATGTTAAATTTTATTTACTAAAAGCAGTAAATATAAATATCCACAAATATATTTATCAAATTGTAGGATATCGTTAGATGTAGCCAATTGCAACAATCACCTTCACAGTTGACTACAACTGCTACGGGTAACAAACTTCTTCTAAGCAGACATAGCACAGGTGGTAGTGATTCTGCTTTAAACCATGTAGTTGTAGCACAAAAACAAAATAGTAATTTTAGACCTACATCGCAAACATCTACAGTAAGTTGAAACAAAAACCGTATACTTAACATTATATTATTATATAAACTGTACAAAGATTTAATAAATTACAATATTAGTATTTATTCAAACAAAATTTTAATTTCCGGATATTGTTTTTATATTTAGTCATCTGAGTTCTATCAAACGTTACCGGCAGCCACAGAAAAAAAACAAAATATTATATCTAGTCCACCCTCATCAAGAAAGGGAAGTTTAAGTAGCTTACACCAACAGTTGACAAGACAATCCAGTCAAAACAATTCAATATTGGAACATTTTGCTTTTCAAGCCAAAGAACTTGTTAGAGAAACAGCCAGGCAAAGTAGTCAAGAAGGAGCTGGGGGAATACTAGCGCATGTAGCGGACAAACTGACCACTCAAGCAAAAAAAGCTGCAGGCGAAGCCACCAAATCTGTACATGAAGCTAGTAAAAGTGCATTTGAAGCCAGTAAAACAGCGGCTGGTGTCAGCAAAAACACTTTTGATGATTTAACATATGTTGGAAAAAGTACAATCGGTGATCTCACAAAAAGTGCAAAACAAGTAGCGTCCAAAAAAGGATTTAAGGTAGAGGCTATATTTGTTTAGTTTTTATTGACCATTGAGTACATATACCTACTTATATTATTTATTGAACTTTCAATTCAATGGAAATGTTTGACTATCCATAGATCTATAAAGAAACGGACTGATAACAGAGAGAGAGCTGTCTAGGGGCCAACATTGTTAAAAAAAATATAGCATACAACTTATGTATCATTAATAGCAAGAGAGTTAGAGAGAGATAGTATTTCAACCACGAAAATAACAATATTTTTAGAAAAAAAATAGCATGGACCTTAGGTAGTCAGGTTCCTTTATATTACACAGGTATTGACTATCTCTTTTTAGTTTTTAACAATGTTGTCACTCGGAAACCTATAGTAGGATATGGGGGACGCCTAGATTATATATTTAATAAGTCTGTGGTTCTATCAGACACATTAAGGTCTACATCAAGGTAATTCTTAATATTATAACCATTTTGGCAGATTCACTTGTAGTTTTATGTGACAGACGACAGGCTCCCGCAATTATATTATTATGTTGTTTTTACTTGTAAAATACCTACTAAAAATTATATTAACTTTTTGAGTTCTACTCTGAAATCTAGTATAAATAATATAGGTACTAATATAAATAAATATTACTCAGTAATACTATACTATATTATACTTATATTATTTATATCTTTATAATATAAACAATTTACATATTATAATTTATATTTTATAATTTTTATTGTTTAATCTATTTGTATAAATTTAAAAATTTATATTTATTTTATAGGTTGGATTATTGGGTGAATCCGCGTCTTTAAGCTTACAGCAACTGAGTTTCGATGATGAAATAAATGACAACAGTCCACCGACCAATCCAATGTCAACTGGTTCCGTTTCAGAAGTTAGAAAGTCCTCAGTAACATCGATGGGAACAGGTGCCACAAAAGATTTTTTTTCAAATATATCAAATGATATAAATGGATTAGCAAATCAAACAACGAGCATGTTTACTGATTTATTTGGTAAGGATTTTCAAAAAAATATATATATTTTTTAGTTGCCCGGAAAATACTAAATAGTAAATATGGAGGTCTAAATACTCTAAATTATAAAATGTAATATTATGTATTAGGTGGTAATAAACAACAAAAAAATAGTAAATCGTCGCTCACATTGCCAGTGACTAAAACTAAAGAACGCACAGCCGTTGGACTTTTTCCGACAAAAGGTAAATACAATTTTATTTTTTTATAGCATAAATAAAAATTAATATATTTATATTTAATATCATATTTTTTTTTAGCCGGGCGTAACGATTTAGTTGAAAAATCTAGTTTGATTCGTCACTCAAATCCAAGAAAACTAAGTGAAACATCAAAAATACCGAACAAAAAATCAGTAAAACCTAATAGTCACGTGGACAATGAAACATTCCTAAAGGATGTATGATGCACCAACCAATAGCTTTTAATTGATATATATGTATAAACTAATTGATTGTTGTAAATCTTAGGTAACAAAACAGATTCTCGAAGGAGATGGAATAGGTTGGCTGAAGCTCAGTAGATTTAAAAAATTAATGGAAGAAGAGGGATACCGGAATTTAGTAGTCAGTAAACTTAACCGGACATTGGATAATAAAATTAGTCCAAGTGATCACATTGATGACGTGGTAATAATTTACAACATTTTGTTATAAATTATTTCATTGATATAATTTAATTCAATGAAATAAATTTCCATTTTATTATTATGGTGTTAAAATTGCATTTTCTTCCCTTCAGTATATAAATAGATTTGTTTGGAAAGGAATGCTTAAAGCCTTACTAGCAATTATCCATGGATTAGAAGTATCTTTTGGCAATCAATGTGGAGGTGGCTTAGCATCTGCATTCCAAGTATTAGAAATAGCTCATACTCATTATTGGGCTAAAGACATATCCATGACTGGTTTCGAATCTCAAGTAAATTTTCAAGTTTTGTATTTTTATGTTAAATTGAACGATAGATTAATTATTAGTTTTAAACAGATATGTATGTTAACATAAATTGCAATGAAATACATTACGGCTGCGAAGGGGAAGATGTGTTATTTGTGTTACAAAATTGATTCTTATGAAATAATTTAGAAATTAAGAAATTAAGATCTAAGAGTTCATTGATGGGTAAAATGTTAGTTATAAAATTTAAAACCTTAAATTAATTAATGATTTAAAAAAAATAATTGTGGAGTTATATTCAGCATAATATACTTTATTTAAAGTGTATAAAGTAATACAACAATTAGTACTGGCTTAAAAATATGGTGAAGTCAATAAATTCTAATCGATCATAAACAAATAGCATATAGTAACCAAATAATTGTATGAAATACAGTTACATGTTAAATAACTTATTTAATAATTAAAGCAGACCAACTACACAAAAGCATACAAATGGAGAATACATCTTACAAGTGCGATATATGTGACAAGTCGTTCTCTGTAAGTGGCCATTTGACAGCACATCGACGCACGCACACTGGTGAAAAACCTTACGCTTGCGATGTATGCGACAAGTCGTTCTCTGTAAGTGGCCATTTGACAAAACATCGACGCACGCACACTGGTGAAAAACCGTACGAGTGCGATGTATGCGACAAGTCGTTCTCTCAAAGCTGCCAGTTGACAACACATCGACGCACACACACTGGTGAAAAACCTTACGCTTGCGATGTATGCGACAAGTCGTTCTCTCAAAGCTGCCAGTTGACAACACATCGACGCACACACACTGGTGAAAAACCTTACGCTTGCGATGTATGCGACAAGTCGTTCTCTGTAAGTGGCCATTTGACAGCACATCGACGCACGCACACTGGTGAAAAACCTTACGCTTGCGATGTATGCGACAAGTCGTTCTCTGTGAGTGGCCATTTGACAATACATCGACGCACGCACACTGGAGAAAAACCATACGCCTGCGATGTATGCGACAAGTCGTTCTCTGTAAGTGACTATTTGACAATACATCGACGCACGCACACTGGAGAAAAACCATACGCCTGCGATGTATGCGACAAGTCGTTCTCTGTAAGCAACAATCTGACGAGACACCGACGCACACACACTGGAGAAAAACCGTACGCGTGCGATGTATGCGACAAGTCGTTCTCTGTAAGTGGCCATTTGACAAAACATCGACGCACGCACACTGGTGAAAAACCGTACGAGTGCGATGTATGCGACAAGTCGTTCTCTCAAAGCTGCCAGTTGACAACACATCGACGCACACACACTGGTGAAAAACCTTACGCTTGCGATGTATGCGACAAGTCGTTCTCTCAAAGCTGCCAGTTGACAACACATCGACGCACACACACTGGTGAAAAACCTTACGCTTGCGATGTATGCGACAAGTCGTTCTCTGTAAGTGGCCATTTGACAACACATCGACGCACGCACACTGGTGAAAAACCGTACGAGTGCGATGTATGCGACAAGTCGTTCTCTCAAAGCTGCCAGTTGACAACACATCGACGCACACACACTGGTGAAAAACCGTACGAGTGTGATATATGCGACAAGTCGTTCTCTGCAAGTGACAAATTGACAATACATCGACGCACGCACACTGGTGAAAAACCGTACGAGTGCGATATATGCGACAAGTCGTTCTCTGCAAGAGACAATTTGACAATACATCGACGCACGCACACTGGGGAAAAACCATACGCCTGCGATGTATGCGACAAGTCGTTCTCTGTAAGCAACAATCTGACGAGACACCGACGCACACACACTGGAGAAAAACCGTACGCGTGCGATGTATGCGACAAGTCATTCTCTACAAGTGACAATTTGACGAAGCACCGACGCAATCACACTGGCGAAAAACCGTACTCCTGCGATGTATAAGACAATTCGTTCTTTATAAGTAGCAATTTGATGGTACACAAGCTGATGCAAATGGCAAACTGATAGGATTGATCAAAGATCTATGATCCAAATCCCATATTAAAATAGGATAAATCATGTCAACATATCATTATGTAGCACTGTTTAAGTGTTCATTTTTTTTCAAATTGTTGTTTCTTGTTACTAAATTTCTAATAATTTGTCATATGCATAAAAAATATTAAATTTCGTATGCGTTTCAATTTTATACGAAATTTGGTTATCTACTCTTGTTCATTAAAAGCACTGAATGGATTTGAATGTGGGTTTTCACTAGGTAATGGACAGAGCTTGATTATCTGGCAAGGTTTTCAGTATACTTTTATAGACCCAACTTCTATCTCCGGAAAATTGATTAATGATATAGGATACGCCAATGACGCAATTTGTTTGGATTTTATAGCGATTTTAGCGGTCTTCAAAACCACTCACTTCACATCATATCCACTAGACAGTGTTAAAAATATATTTTTTTATTTTATTCTGGGTGAAGGTACACATAAACCAATTTGTTCATGAAGTTATTACACTTAAGCCAAAGTCTGAAATACACCTAAATCGCTATATATCCAATGCAAATATGTCCACAAGGCAAGTGAGATAAACCAACGCCAAATTGTCCTGGAATAGAGTACCTTACACTTATTAAACTAAATTACTCTAAGTACCGTATTTTATATTTGTTCATCCTTACTTGAGTAAAGTTGGGTAGTACAGCTAGTATATATATAACTTCAGGTATATAAAGAAATTTAATTGGAGTTTGTTACCTATTTTATTCTTTCGCTAGATGATTTATTAAATATACCTATAGCATAGAATTTCAAGATCAATTATGTATCCATCTATATCTATTTTATTGTTATTTTTAATACATATATAGATGTCCAGTCCATATAGTAGCCGTGAAAATGTACAATCACCACTACAAAGTCCAAGTATTGCTGGTTCACCAATGTCGAGTGTTTATCAAACATCTAGGAAATCTTCTCAAACCAGTACATCTGGATTATCTGGTAAAATTCCTATATATTATTATGTGTAATTATGAAAAACATATTATTATAATATACTATATTACTATATTATACTAGGTGATTCTTTTAACTCTAGAATATAAGGGAAATAGGATGGATAGGTTTTAAGCTTACTAATTGACACGGCCTTAGCGCCTGCGTTCTCTCAACAACCGTGCACACTACCACTCTGACCTGCGTCGTTTGTTCTGGTCAAAATTTTAGATGGTGACTGGCCACTGGGGTACCCACATGGAGACCACATGAAAGGTTTGGAGAAGGGGGGGTATAACATTGCCTTTGCGCCTGCACTCTCTTCTCAGTCATACACACTGCCACTCTGGCCGATATCATAGACATGTTAATATGTCTATGGAGGATATCGAAGTAAATAATATGATAAGATTGCTTTGGCTCACTATCGCGTTCCGGCTGTCCGGCGAGTATCTCGTGGGTTCAATCCCTTTGTCGTGCTTTTTTTTTCATTTAATTCTCGATATCTCTTCAAGACCGGCCACAGCACTTGTGACCGTGTCATAATATACTGTCAAACTGACCAATATATTATAAAATAGAGTAGTTCTGGTTAAATTTTAAGTTTGGATTGTAGGTATTAAATCTACAAGTGCCTACCTAGACAAAACGACGACGTATAGGTCTTGCAAAAACAAAAGTTATACAAAAAAAAAAATCCCGTTAATATGTATTTTTTGAAAAATGAGAGTGTACTTTAAAGAATCACATTGTAATATATTATATACACACTTGATCATACTTCTCTCAACTTAATAATTTTAAACTAAATCATTATACTATTTACTATTGTTGATTAGAATGTAAAAATAGTGGAGCTGGAAAATTTGCGCACGAATTTTCATTAGTTGACGACGGTGAAGAATCAACTTCTAATCCTTCTTCAAAGGAAACGTTCAATGATTTAATGAATATCGAAACCATAACAAGAACAATTTCAACAAAATCCATTTTTGGAAATGAAGTAAATAATATATTTTAATTTATTGTATATGTATAGGTAACATTACCATGGTAAAATTTTGTATATAATTTTAATAACTCTTACTTATATATAAGAATGCATATGATTTATAAATATACATGAAAAAGGGGCTGTAAAAAAGATCTTACAACCAAGCGTTGTATCAGCACGTAAGGGAATTATATTATAAGGAAATGTGGGAGATTAATTAAACTATTTTGGTAATTACTTACCTACCTACTTTTAATTAATATTTTATAGAAATAAAAATAATTTTTAATCATAATTATTTGCGTACCTAATTATTATTAAAATTACTTTTGAACAATTTAATAAGGTGAAGTTAAAAACATAAATTGTAAAAAGTAAATTAAAAACTCCTGGCATAAAAAACAAATAGGTATGAAAATTCAATATTTTTTATAGGTGTGATTAGAAAAATTTTCTCAATACCTCGTGCAAAAATACTTGATATTATAAATAAGTATTAAAACAAAGTTTGAAGTTGAAAAAAATGTCTAGGAAATTTTGACGTAGACATATAAAAAGGAGTAAATAAATAAATATGTGTAATAACTAATAAATATATTTAAGAGCTTATAAATAACTGCGGGAAGATTCTAAATATGACTCTAAGTATGTTAAAAACCTTGGTATGTACCTAGTATATGCCTAGTTTGTACTAGGCCATTTTGAAGTCGATTTACTGATTAAACCAACTATTTGCTTCATAAGCACGAAGAAATGGCATTGACGATTGAAGTGATAATATATTGTGTTCGTATACCTAAGGTTTATTGGATAATTTTTTTTTAATTTTATGATAATTAAGAGCAATTATAGTCATAGCGGATATTTTGAATAAAAAGCATTTTATATATATACCTCAAAATAATATTGTACCTACCTATAACTTATTACAAATTTGGATTTGTATATTTTTAATTTAAAAATAAAACACTGGGATACCAATTCAATATGAATACGTAATAGGTATTTTTGAATTTATTAAAATGATCATTATTAATGGTCAAATAATTGTAACGGAGACTTTGGAGTGTACCTAAAAATAACACATACTCAATATTTAGGGGGAATTGTCATCCCTTGGGCCGATAGTGGTATCAGATGAATCCAGTTGTACAGTAGTGCAGTTCTAGTCAACAATCCATCGTTTTATTTGAAACGGATGTCAAGTAATAACAGCAGAAACAATGCATCATTCTTTCGAAGTGCTGTATCAGACAGCGAACTTGATAATACGGGAGTAAGTACCTATAATGAAAATTGCTACGTAAAGTTTTATAATAAAATATACAAAAGTGTATTCTAAACATGTTCAGTGAATTAGAAACATATATAGGATTATAGTACCTATGACTTTTTATTAAAACAAGTACTTAACAATTTAAAATAAACCTAACACAGGACCTAAATTATTTTAAGCTTTACTTGCAATTAAATTATATAAAATGAACTATTTCCCATTATAGCTTTTCAAGGCAAATAATAAAAATCGCACTCAAAGTATTTGGTCCAGTAAATCATCACTAAGCGCTGGGTTTCGGTACCATGGAGGTAATTTGTTGAATACTGCATCTGGGTCACCTAGTCCAGAATCGGGACGTACTTATTTGTTTGAAGGTATTTATTACTAAACACTAAAAATACATTTAAATAATATACAATGGTTATAAAATACAATTATGGTTATACATTAAAATACTAACAAGTACCGTAATTATGTTATAAAGGTATATTGGGAAAAGAAAGGAGTACAATTTGGAATCAATTAAAATTTTGGGAAGATGTATTTATTGATGCTGTCAGTCAAGAGAGAGACATGATAGGCATGGATCAAGGACCAGTAGAAATGATGGAAAGGTCTGTAAAAAAAATTATTAACTGATTACATAAATGTTTGAATTGTTTATGTTCTAATAACTGTCTTATAGGTATAAAAATCTAAACCAAAGTGAACGAAAACGCCTAGAATATGATGAAGATAAACTCCTGTCCATAATGATATATAATTTAATAGCATTTATGATCATGGTAAACGTTCCTAAGGAGAGTATCATGAAAATTGTTAGAACTCTAGTCGGGAAAAGTAGAGTGACAAATTGTTACGCGACTGAAATAACGAGCCTCATGTCACAATTATCCAATTTGGTAAGTTCCAACTTCCAACATGCTTAGTTGCTTATCTGATATACGTTTACATACTACATAATATATAGATTCTTCAATTTAGGTATACTAAATAGCTTGAGAACATACCAAGTTAAGATATATTTTTAAAAAAAATTCTTACTCTAAATAACATTAAATATTTTAAAATTACATAATTAATTAATTTAATATAAAGATTAGGTAAGTATATTAAATAATTTATGGCTAAAATGTAATAGATTTGTGGTGCATAGATATTTATATTTTTTGAAATGTTATTAAATTTTAAATTGTATATTCTTTACTTCCTTGTAACTATAATTTTTTAACTTTGCATACCCAATGTACTATCTATCGCTGTCATAATTTAAACAAAGATAAATGGGTGGGAAAATAATGGTTCTGGTGATATAACAACTTTGCTACTCTGATAATTAATTGTATACAAATATATACAATCTACATATGCCTAGTCTAAATTACAAACAAATCTCTTTTTGAGCAATTTATAGATATTTTAAATTTTAAATTTTTTTTAGCTTTCATTCTAAATTATGTCAAAAAATTTATCACACTTTGTTGTCAATAAAAAACTTATCACAAAGTTTTTCCTAAGTTGTGACTATACCAATTTAAAAATATTAATGATATATAATCACATTTTTTTTTTATAACTACATATTTCAAATTTTTAAACATTTGTCAAAATCGCGAAAATTAGCGAATTATTTTGTAAGTAAATAATTAAAAATTAATAAAATGTTTTAAGTGAAATGTTTGTAGCTTAGGCTAGAAACAAATAAAATACAAAGTTTCTCATAACTAGCCCATACACAACCAAAAAATATTATTCACACGCTATTTTTTTTTTTTATAGACATTTTAAATTCAAATTTGGACGAAATTAGATATTTAAATTTTGAACAATGAATAACGATTTTAGTATTTTGTTATTATTTAAAATATTATTCGTGGGAAACTTTTACAACATGTTTTTACATTTTAAATACTCGATGACATTTTAAAATGCAATGTTCTAGACAAAAGTTAATTTAACCTACTTTATTATTAATAGTAAAATAAATTACTTAAATAGCAATACTATCATATACCTAATAGTAATATAAGCTTCCAGAGCGTTTTCGATCAGCTTCGTTTTTTGTAAGCGATGATTTATCATTGAATTCAAATTTAGAGTAAATTTACAGTAACCCACTCAACAACCTACCGTATAAATATAACTATATATTATATAACAGAGCAGTACCAACTTTCCCAACTTTTTTTTGTATTTAATTTAAAAACACTAAATACTAATATAAAATTATTACTGCTGATAAAATATTTTTACAACATACAACAGCACTATAGTATATTTTTGATTTAATTTACCATTTAATTAATGTTAAAATAAAACTATCTATGTTTATTATACTATGTAGAATGGAAATGACGTTGACTTGAAGCCATCAAATTCGAGACAGGCACATAGGCAAAGTTTTGCTGTGCACTGTGGTGATTCTACTGGGGAATTGTTGTTCCTAGAAGTTAGAGATGACGGACTAGTTCTGAGATCGGTTAGCGGAGTGATTGTCAGTAGATGGTGGTATGAACGCATTGTAAACATGACTTACAGCCCTAGAAGTAAAATATTTTGTCTTTGGAGAACCGCCAACGGTGGACAACTTCAACTGAACAAATATTATACAAAAAAAGTAAGTGGTAATTACAGTAGGTACCAATCTACTTCATATCCAGTGACATGGTCAACTTATGTCGTCTGCAGAGTCAAGCATTTTTATCCAAGTATCGTCCCTATAGCTACAATTTGGGGGAGGGACTTGAGTGTGCTTAGTGTTGAAACTAGCACCCTTATCATTGTTTTCATACTGAGATTATAGCATAATACTTTACCTAATAAAATACTAACATAATATAAATGTATGAATTTACATAAGTTTGTAATGTTTACTTTTTCAAAAATACATTAATTGTTATAAGTATGTGACCATTTATATGGATCTAAATTAGGGTGTTGTCAAACAAAAATGGTTGAGAACCACTAGCTTAGGTGGTGAAATGCAAACTTTTTTTCTACATCACCTACGAAAAATTAAAACATTGGTTAGAGCAGCATTTCTCAAACTTTTCAGGCCTAAAGTTGTTAAAAAAAAATCTTCTCTATCCTTATATGGTTTCGTCTTTAATCAATGCAATAGTTATGAATTTAATTGTGCAATTAAAAATTAATTTAAAGTACATGATGAACCACAAAACCACAAAACCCTTTTATACATTACCTAAGACTTTTTTTAAGAAACATTGAGTAATTAAGTATTTTTTCATTCTAAATGTTACGCTATACAGTGCAAAGATTTGTATGCTCGCATCAAGCATTCCATGGAAAAGGCCGCAGAGAGAGGACAAGGTATCATTCCCGGAGTTGAATTAGGAGGCGAGTTTCCTGTTAAGGACATGGCAACTGGGGAAGGTGGTATACTTCAAGTTTGCATGGAAGGTGTTGGTTTATTATTCGCTGATAGCAAGGTAAGTAATAAATAAAGTGCATGTCGCAGCAACAATGATATATATTACTATTATGCGTTTTATTGTTATTACTATTACTATTATTATTAAAATTATTGTTATTGTTGTTGCTGTTGTTATTATTATTATTAATACAATATTATTAATATCATTATTATTATTATTATTATTATTATTATTATTATCATTATTATTATTATTATTATTATTATTATTATTATTATTATTATTATTATTATTATTATTATTATTATTATTACAATATTACTATTAATATTATTATTTAAAAATTATGATTATTTTTTACATAATATCTTATCATTATTATTTTGAATTATTATTAATGACATTATTATTTTTTATTTTTTTTTATATGTTTATTTTTTTATTATTATTTTTATTGGTAGTATTTTGTTTAAACCCTCCCTTCTCAATTAATTTGTGGTTAAAAGAAAAAAAAGTTTACCACCACATAATAGATATATATGTATATATAATATATTTTCATGTAACTTAATAAGTAATGACTATAGTAAATGGAATAAAGGGATAACAAACCGAAACTTTATGCCTACCTATGACAGTAAAAATATTACATGAAATATGGAATTCTATCAATAACAATCATTAAAATATGACAACATTTCTTACCATTTTGTACTTAAATTCTCATATTTTTATAATTACAATAACTAAATATTATCAAACATTAGGTAGGTGTACCTAATACCTACCTATATGACTTCATTACATCAGATATCTCAATGACTATTTTAATGATGATCAAATATTGTTTTACTTTTGGTACCTTGCGGGTTAATTTACTATAACTTCTTTTCAAATCTTTCTTATATTTTTTACTCTATAGAATTTTCAAAAAGTTATATCAATGTAAATATACATATTACATATTATATATTATATATATCTATATCACTTTCCATGAATTTAGTTTTAAAAAATAAACTTTTTTTCTTTTAACTATATTATGGTTACTAAACTTACATACAAAGAAAGCTGTTAATTACGACTTACTACTACAAATTTATATATTTTTAAGGACCTCTCAAAACTTTCTTAAAACATTATTGTTGTGTTGATTTTAAAACATTAATACAATAAATACGTAAATGAAGCTGCAATACATTTATGTATAATATAACATGTATCTATCTACATTCGAATTATCCCACTTCAAATTCGGGTCGTTGGTATAAATTAATTACACTTAATACATGATGTATACACGATAAAATAAAAAGTACCTAGTACCTACCTATACTATCATATCATTGTCGTGAATAGGCGTGTATATTTTCTTAAAGCTTTCTATTGACGCGATTTTTACAGAAAATTAGGCATGCGATACTTTATATCTTTTCTGATCTATATATTTTTTTTATATATATTTACATAATATATATTTTATTTTGTGTGATTG